CCAGAAAAGTTTGGGTTTTGTTGTTGTGTTGAACTTTTTTGAAATAGAGTATCACTGTGCAGTTCAGGGTGGCTTTGAACTCCCTTTGTAGCCCAAGCTAGCCTTCAACTCCCAGCAATTCTCTTGCCTTAGCCTCTTGAATGTTGAAATTATAAGGGTGTGCCACCATGCCCAGCAGGAAATCTTTTTTTAAATTTGGGAAGGGAAACATAGATATTCCAGCTCTGAGTGGGAATTTCTTTTAATTAATGTAAAATGTTCTGTCTTCTCAGCTGCTGAAGGCACTCTGCAACTGCCTTACCTTTCATTAGCCTAAGGGTCCAGAAGTGGACTAGAATTTGAATTCAGGATTTTCAGATTGAGCAGTAGTCTCTTAAGCCTTTCTATTTTATCATGCTTTATCTTTCCTACTGTGTTGTGGCACTACTCTGCTTTTTATAAAACAGGGAGGGAAGAGCCTGGAGACTATCCTTTGGGGTGTACTATTTAAATGAGGTAATTTTATTAAAAGAAAATTAGGTAACTCAGTGTATGTCATCCTGAGAGGAGATGGTACTGAAGGCACTGAAGAACAATATAAGATTTTAAAGTGACTCATTAGAAAAATACTGTAGTTCCTCAGATATAGTTTAAAAAGTAAATACTTGCTGTAAAATATATTGAGAGCTGAGGGTATCTATCAGTAGTAGAGCATTTACCTAACATGTCCCAGCCCTTGCATTCAATCCTCAAAACTCCTAAATAAGAAAGATCTAATGAAGTAAATTAATATTTTTAAAATAGGTAATACTTTTAACCCTTTTAAAGTGGATATTAAGGGCCAGTTAAATAGTGCAGTGGATTAAGGCACCTTCAAGCAGGTGCAGGGGCCAGGAGTTCTATCCCTGGGCCTGCTATGCCAGCCCCGCCCCTGGGACGTGCTGAAACAGCAATTGAGACTGGGTATGGGGGCGCACACCTGTAATCCCAGCACTTGGGAGGCTGTAAACAGGCATATCACTATGAGTCTGATCTAGTAGTGAGACTCTAAACACCCTGTAGACCCTTCTCTAAAATAAAAAAAAGAATATTAATTATTGATAAGTTCTTAAAGGGATATTGCATAAGATTTTGTGAGTGAAAAAAATTGAATTAACCAGGACTTATATGTACACCAGTATTAGCACTGGGGATGTGGAAATAGGAAGGGCATGTTTGAAGCCAGCCTGGGCTACATAACATGTGACCTTGTCTGAAAAGAAGAAAGCAAGCAAATAAAACCCATGAAAGAATAATTAAGGTAGCCCTGTTTGTTTTATTTATTTTAATGTATTTAGTATAGGGTTTATGGGGTCTCATTATCCTGTTTTCAGCCTCCTAAGTGCTAGGATTACAGGTGCCATGCCCAGGCTCAGTCTCAGCATGTCCCTGGGGCTGGGGCCAGGGCCAGCACAGCATGCCTGAGAATGGATTGAGCAGACACTTTAGTCTGCTGGACTATTTGGCCAGCCCTGCCCTTCAGCTTTAAGTGAAACGTTTCTTTAACCCATACGTTGGGATAGTTGTTTAGATGTTGAATGTGAAGTTTGTTTTTAGGTTCATTTAAATTTTTATCATAAAGTAAGTTTAAATCCCAAGTTATTTGAAGTTACCTATAATGGTGACTTTTTTGTTTTTATATGGGGGATTGAACTTGGGACTTTGCACTTGCCAGGTAGGCGCTTATGCTACTGAGCTATTTCCCAGCCTAAAGATGAAGGGTGGTGTTGTTTGTTTTTAAGTAAACTTCAATTTTTTTTTTAATTGTACTTGTTTTATTTTATTTTATTTTTCTGGCCAGCTCAGCCCACCCTGGGAGTGGGGCTGGCATGGCATGTGGTGCCAGGGATCAAACCGCAGTCTCTGGGCTTGCCTAAGCAGTGACTGCGGGTCACTTAGCTATCCCACTGGCCCGTTTTGTTTTTAATAGAGGTTAAGAGCCAAATAGCTTTATTGAAGTAAAGAAAAGAAAGCTTCTGTCCAACAGAGGGACAGAAAGGGACTGGAGTAGGTTTCCCTTAAAGATGAGTTTTAAGACCATTTGTTAGTAATTTAATTATATTGTAGCAGACTGCATACTACTGACTCCTGTCCCTGCAACTCTGTAACATGAAGTGAAAATTACACACAATGTGGATAGGTGGTTGGGTGGGGGCAGTTGGTGTGTATAGGATTGATGGGTAAATTGGTGTTTTTGTTGTTTGAGACAGGCCTGGCTACCTAATCTAGGCTATTCTGAAACTTTTTTCAACCTTCTGCCTCAGCCTCCCAAGTTCTGGGATTACAGACATGGTCACTACACCTGGCTGAATATGTTATATTTTGAATGTTAATTTTTATTTTCTGAGACAAGGTGTCACTACATACTCCAGGCTGGCCTTGAACTATGTAACCAGGGCTGGCCTTGAATTTGCAGCTGTCCCCCTGCCTCAGCCTCCCAAGTGTTGGGATTACAGGCAACATTGTATATTTAGATTAGTTCTTTCAAATGGATTATTTTCAAAATGAATTAACCTCTATTGCACTTTACTATGAGAAAGCAGTTACAGGGGAAGACACTTTGAAAAGCTAATTTTTTGCAAATGTTTAGTAATGTAAATGTTTTTGTTGTGCCAACTACAAAGTGGTTTGTATATGCCATGTGATCCATGTCTTCCAATCCCAGCTACTTTGTAAGACTGAAGCAGTAGTGTCACTAGTTTGAGGTAAGCCTGGGCAGTGTAGTAAGATCTATGCTAGATGGTACAACTCAGTTCAGTCCACCAGTACAAAAGGGAGTAAGAGAAAACAACCTAGATTCAGCATTGATCAGAGTTTTTTCTACATAATTATATCATGTCGAATTTCTTTGTTTCTTTTTTATAATAAAAGTATTTTTGAGAATTTGGTTTATTTTTAATAGGAAATCCAAGTTGGTTTCTTTTCAGTAATACTAGAATGTTCTTGTTGAAATTCAGTATATCTTAAAAATATTAATATTCTCATGAAATTAAACTTTGTCAGGGGTTTACATTGTCTTGCCACTTTTCTGAGTTTTTCTGACATCCATTTTCTGTTTTGTCTTAAGATTGTCATCTCTTACCTTCTCTTAACTTTTCCAGATCCACTGTTTTCATATAATGTGCCAAAAATAAAATTGAATTTTATAATTTAACCATATTACCTTATTAATTTTTTATGCATTATCAAAATGCCATTATTTTTCTGAGGGAAGTTTTTCAGAAGACTAGCTTTTCAAAAACAAAATGCTTTGACTGTACCATAAAGATCAAAGCTGCAATTAAACCTAATACAGAAAAAACTTTTATCTTGAAAACTCCTCAGCATACTGATTTTTTTAAATACACATGAAAATTTAGAACCCTGTCAATACCAGTGGACATGGTATCTCAATTGCTGTTTTGACATTTTAAAGACATATCAAATAAATTTTCATCCAAAGTTCACTCACTCTTATCTTTACTCTTTAATTAGTTTACATAGTGGATCTTGTCCAGAAGTAGTTTCTTTGGTGTCTTCTCAAATTCATCTTTCTTGGTGTGCAAAAACATCTGTTACTCAGCCACCTTTGATAGCATTTCTGTGTCTTTATTACATCTATTTTTAAAAAATCTGATCTAAGTCTTTCTTGCCTGTAACTTTATTTTATACCTCCTCTACCACTGTATTTTGTCCAATATATCTTTGCTTTGATCTATCATTGATTGAATTGTTCCCATAGTAGACTTGTAACTATTGGATATTGTCTAGTTTTTTGTGTAATAAAGTTTAAAATATTAACTTCCACAGCTTAAGTATATATGGTTGCTCAAAGCTTAATAAGCAGTTAACAGAATTCTGTAGCAAATAGTATGAGATTTATCTCGTCTGTGTGTTAAAAGGTGTCTTGCTGAGAATTTATTACATCTTTTAATATGAGAATCATGTGCAAATAGTTTATAAATTCTTCAACAGTTTTTAAGATGTTATGATTTATGAAAGAAAATAAAAAATTTCATCTAGGTATATATCTTAGAGGATAATCAGAATTAAAATTTTTCAGGTGATTGGGCTGTTCTTGTGAAAGGTCAGAAATCTATGTAACCAAGAACTCACTTTCATTTTTTACCTATTTTGAGCTCTAGGGGTGCTACAATAATCCTAAGTGTTAAATGAGTGCTGATAGATGCAAATTTGGGGGTATTTCCCTTCTTTAAATCACACCTTATATTTCTTATATTGTTTTTTCCCCTTAGATTTCCTGTTTCTATGCTGGCCAAAGTTGGTTCTCCTTACCTTATAAGAATAGATGTGAAATAACTGCCTGTTGTAGGTCAATAAGAAGGCAATTAGTGATATGGCTTAAATTTGTGCTGAAATCCTTAAAACTAGGAAATACTTACTCTTACATCTGTCTTCACCTCAAATTGATTTTATTGTATTATGGTCTCAACTATTATTTGGTCTTAGATCTTGTATTAGGTACTTGACCCCCTAAACTTCGTTTACTTGTGATTTTACTTGGTCCTTTCTGATAGTGATAGTAGGTCTCGTTTTCTAAAGCAGAATACAACTGATTCATCTTTTGACTTGCTGACCTTGTTTTTTTTATTACTGCTTTTTTTTTTGTTTTTGTTTTTTTTTTTTTAAGTCTTCTGGAACTTAAGCATCATGCTATAGGGTGTATTTTTATTCTTACAGAAGAGACCCATCTGTGTTTTCACTAAAATTTTGATGTACTCAGACATCTATTCCTTCAGTTTGTGTTTTTAAAACTCAGTATGAAATTCCCTTTAACAGTTAAATTTTAGCATGAAAAAGCACTTTTTAAGTATATGCAGGCTCTGCATACATCTGGAATCTGTTTAAGATATGTAATAAATTTCTTGTAAGTTTGAGATCTTAAATGGTTTTTTAATCAACATGATGCGTAAGTTTTTTTTTCTTAAAAAACGGCATCTACTTAAAGGGATTTATGACTAAAACTGCTTATTTTTCTACAGAGTTGTCTGCTGGTTCTCAGCTTGAAGAAGATTCTACAGTCCTTATTGATCCTTTTTCTTGGCGTTACCATTTTTGAAGCAAAGTTAACCTAGCTTTCTAGTTTGAGCTTTCTTTTTGGCCATCTTTTAAATTTTTTTTTTCAAAAAATCTATAAAATAGACAAGCGATAGTTCTACAATGTCCAAGTCATTCCAGCAGTCATCTCTCGGTAGGGACTCACAGGGTCATGGGCGTGACCTGTCTGCAGCAGGAATAGGCCTTCTTGCTGCTGCTACCCAGTCTTTAAGTATGCCAGCATCTCTTGGAAGGATGAACCAGGGTACTGCACGCCTTGCTAGCTTAATGAATCTTGGAATGAGTTCTTCATTGAATCAACAAGGAGCTCATAGTGCACTGTCTTCTGCTAGTACTTCTTCCCATAATTTGCAGTCTATATTTAACATTGGAAGTAGAGGTCCACTCCCTTTGTCTTCTCAACACCGTGGAGACACAGACCAGGCCAGTAACATTTTGGCCAGCTTTGGTCTGTCTGCTAGAGACTTAGATGAACTGAGTCGTTATCCAGAGGACAAGATTACTCCTGAGAATTTGCCCCAAATCCTTCTGCAGCTTAAAAGGAGGAGAACTGAAGAAGGCCCTACATTGAGTTATGGTAGAGATGGCAGATCTGCTACGCGAGAGCCACCATACAGAGTACCTAGGGATGATTGGGAAGAAAAAAGGCACTTTAGAAGAGATAGTTTTGATGATCGTGGTCCTAGTCTCAACCCAGTGCTTGATTATGACCATGGAAGTCGTTCTCAAGAATCTGGTTATTATGACAGAATGGATTATGAAGATGACAGATTAAGAGATGGAGAAAGGTGTAGGGATGACTCTTTTTTTGGTGAGACCTCGCATAACTATCATAAATTTGACAGTGAGTATGAGAGAATGGGACGTGGTCCTGGTCCCTTACAAGAGAGATCTCTCTTTGAGAAAAAGAGGGGCGCTCCTCCAAGTAGCAATATTGAAGACTTCCATGGACTCTTACCGAAGGGTTATCCCCATCTGTGCTCTATATGTGATTTGCCAGTTCATTCTAATAAGGTGAGTTAATGCAACAGATGCTTCTAATTTCTTTTACATTGTAGTGCCTATTCTGTATTTACCTATATCTTTTACTCTGATTCTGTAGTCTGATGACACTGAGTTGATCGAGAATTTTTATACTTTTGAGAACGCTTACTTTATTTGGAAAGGTAATTGTTTTTGAGCATTTTAAACCAGGGCTTTACATTAATGCAATCTGCCTAGATTACTTCTGGCCACAAAGCTGTCATCCACTGGGATTATCTTGTTGGTTTTTGGCATCAATATATTCTTCTTAATATTTAAGCAGGTTTTTTTGTCTGCTTTGTCGAATTGTTGTATTTTTTTCTGCAGTCAATGTACTCTGCCATTTAGGATACTAGATTTCAGCTTTCCATCTGTCTTGATTGCTGATTTGTATGTAGTAAAGATGTATTCTTGAACAATTCTCTTTTTTTCCTTATCCATGGCTATAGGGAAAGAGTTAATGTAGAGCCCTGGTGTTTGTTTCAGTATGTTTCATATTTTAGATTAGTTCATTCTTCCTTTTTTAATTTCCCTTTAACACAAAGTCTCATACAACTGAAATTTTTCATCATTTTTTTTCTCCTTTTCCACAACTTTCTTAAACATACTTCAAAGCTCACTTTTTATTATTATCCCATATTGCATCTGTCCCTTTTAGAGACTTGGATAAATCAGCTGCTACAGTATCCTGCTCTGTGATCCTCATAAACAAATCTTTTTCTGACTTAGGCTTAGTAGACTTCTGGTATAGTCATTTGGAAAAAAAAATCTAATTCTCCTTTTTCTTAATTATACATCTGGCAAAATGAGAACTTTTGCAAAACGCCCTTTTAAGTATGTTGTCCTTTCTCTTTCAACTTTTTCAGTGTTACTCATTCTCAAGGGGTGTTTTTTTCCAAACTATATTGTAGTTGACTTAAAGTCAACATTAAAACACCCCCGCTAGCTTGTTCTATAATCTGTGACCATCCATTTTTCCCGATGTGCTATATAGTTATCTACTTAATAAGTTGTTTCCATGAAATTGATTTGATGGTTACTGTTACAGGGTTTTTCTTTACAGTAACATCTCTAAGGGTCATTTTCTTTTCATATCTATTACTTTGAAATGTATTTTTTAGTATTGATTTTTGAGTAAAGAATTACCAATCACTCCCTTCCCTATGTTTAGATCTCAGCATTTTTGTCTTTTAATCTTTAATCCATGTCAAAGTAAGTTAGTATAAATGTTAAATTTAGGTTCATACGATTTGTTTTTATTGACAAAATAGAACTGTAGGCTGAAAAGTCAGCAAATTTTTATTTGGTATGTGGTCTTACTGTTCTTTTCCAAATTGTTGGATACAGTAAACATAGGGAGTTTGTTCTTGCTTTGTACTAAACTTCAAGGTTTAGATCTAGTGTGAATTAACCTAATTGAAAAGGCCCGTTAAGCTTTGACTCTATGGTTACTTCTTGCCCATTTACAAAGAAACAGCACAAATGGTACTATTAGAGTAATACTTTCAGTAGAGATTTCTAAATTTTAAGGAAAATAGTGTCTCGAAATGATGTTAAGGATCCTAAAATCTTTTGCTACTGGAGCTATAAAAGCTGTTAGGACATCATAAACAAAAGAGCCTGAGAGGTTTTTTCAGATACAAATTTCTGTTCTTAGCCAGGTGTGGTGGCGCACACTTGTAATCCCAGCACGTGGGAGGCTGAGGTAGGAGGTCTCCAGCTCAAGGTCAGCCTGGACTACATAATGAGGCACTGTCTCAAAAAAAAAAGTATATATATATATATGTAATTTTCTCTTTTAAAGTTTGCTACTTTTCTAGATTTTAAAGAAAGTAATTTAAATGGGTCTAAATTTAAGGTGTAGTTATTTGATGAACTTTAGATTGAAAAGTAAGATACCCTACCCTCGTGCAAGAGGTACTTTTTAGTCTGTAAAATATGCTTAAGTTCTGCCTACCTAGTCTGTGGTATTTTGCTAAAATGCTGAATATATCTAAGAAGTATTTTAGAAGACTTTCTAAAAAAAATTTGATTTACAAAACTTATATTTATAAATTGGCTCAGTTAGAAGTTTGAACGTGGATTCTCTTAAATGTTTGGTTGCCTTAATTTCTGTGTATGTGCATCATTGAAAAAACACATTAGCAGTAGACACTTGATTTCATAACTGATACAAAAATGACTTTAGGTAATATATTCTTCTGATGGAAATAACGAATGAAAGATTTTAAACATTCAATCCTGCTCTCTGGTATTGCTGCATAACTTGGAAAATCTGTTACTTTCATTTAGTGATGTTAAATAGCTTATATGATCAAACTTATGTTCTTAACATGAAATAAATTTAGGTGAAAAACATCTAATGGTTATCATGAAGAGTCCTTATTTTTTATATTGTTAGGTGACTTAAGTGATGGCCTTGCTTTTATTTATTTCTAGGTTTTTTTAGGATAGCAAGGTGCTTTTCTACACTATCTCCAATTTCCTTCCAGTTTCTTTCACTTAAATACAAGTGCCCACTATATCTCTCCTCTCTGCTATCTTGTCACTTAAGATACTTCCTTTTCGTATGACTAAAAGCCCTTATACTATTCTTTACTCTGCCATTCTGAAAATGCTTCCCAGATGATTCTTCATATAATTTCAAATATCTTATTAGCAACATCAAAGTAAACATAGTTTTCCTATAGAAACATCTGAATTTAAAAAGTGAATTCTTGGGGCATAGGTAGGTAGGTAGGTAGGTAGATGTCTAGCTAGCTCAGTGACATGGTGCCTTCCTGGCAAGCATGGGATTGTGAGTTTGCTTCCTGGCACCAAAAAAATAAAGTACATCTTTATTATTAATAATCTCAATCAAGTAGTAATTGCCTCAGTGTAGAATATGGGGGCATACAGATTTTTTTCAAAGCTCTTGCTTTTGACTTAAAAAACAAATAGAAGATCGGTACATTACTACAGTTTAGTATGGGTGGGCTTCCAAGGTACACGATTGATTTTATGACCCTTTTCAACACTTTGAAGACAACACTTTCACTGTAAAGTTTAAACCTTTAAAAAACATGGGGATTGAATGTAGTTTATTTTCAGCTATGTATCTTTTTGCCAACTCCTAAGAATTAGATGCATTACGAATATTTATTCTTCTAAAATATAGCTTATTAAAGATTTTTCATAAAATCTGAAAACTTTTAGTTCAGAAAATTTAATTCTTTTGTTTTTTGTTTTGTTTGCAGTATGGGGATCGTTTGCCTAGCAGATGCTTAAGCCACAGAGCTATCTCCCCAGACTCCCTCTAGAATTTAGGCTATACTGTAGACTCTTGCTTATACTGTAGACTTTTTTTCTTTTTCTTGTGGCTGGCATGGCATGTGGTGCCAGGAATCGAACCATGGTCCTTAAGTTTGGCTAAGCAGGCACTTTAGTCCACTGAGCTATTGTGCCCTTGCCAGTCCCATACTGTAGACATTTTAAAAGTGGCTTCCAACAAGTAATTGGTCTGTTGCTGTGCAGAGAAACTATGTATTCCAAATACCTGATTGCAGTGCCAACAAGAATTCCCACCCTCCACCCCCTTTTTGGTATTCAGAATCAAACTCAAGACCTCAGGCTTGCCAGGCAGGCGCTGTGCCACTGAGCTATATCCCTGCTCCCACACCGTAATTATTTTTAGGAAAATCTAGTTTTGAGAAACAGGAATGAGTAGTAATTGATAACTCCTTATGTTCTAAGTACCATTTTGTTGGAATGTATTTACCAACTTGTTCTTTGTAGGGTTTTAGTTCTGCTCTAATTTTTAGAAATTAGAATCCCATTTTATAAAATACCATTCTAAAGCTTAACATATCTTGTCACTTGCCATATTTTGTTCAGCTATAACCTCCCTAGTGCCACCTTTTAAGAGAAATACCTTGCCTATTCCAGCTATAATTGTATTAGATATAATGAGTATCACAGAAAGTGTCTGAATTCATAAAAATTTATGAAACTTCAGTAGTGTAAAACAAGTTGTAAAATACAGATAGTCAACTTTATTTCTTTCTGGAGCACTTGACGTGCCTGGTAATGTTCTGAAAAACAGTTTACCTTTATTCACATGTTTTCCACAAGAACCCTTTGAGGGCCAGGGAGATGGCTCAGTAGGATAAGCGCTTGACTGACAAACACAAGGATCTGAGTTCAATCCCCGGTTCCGAAAAAAAAAAAATAATAATAATAATAAATAAATAAAAATTTAAAAAAGAACCCTTTGAGGGGCTGGTGAGATGGCTCAGTGGTCTAAAGCACCTACTTAGGGCTGGAGAGATGGCTCAGTGGTCTAAAGCACCTACTTGGAACAAGCTTGGCAAAGCACAGGGACCGCGGTTCGATCCCCCAGCACCACATGCCAGCCAGCCCTGCCCCCTGGTGGGCTGAGCTGGCCACACACACACACACAATAAAAATAAATGTAATAAATAAAAAAATAATAAAAAAAAATAAAGCACCTACTTAGAACAAGCTTAGCAAAGCACAGGGACCACGGTTCAATCTTCCAGCACCACATGCCTGCCAGCCCCACCCCCTGGTGGGCTGAGCTGGACACACACACACATAAAAAATTTTTTAAAAAGAACCCTTTGAGAACATTTCTACATTAATTTAAATAACTTGAACAAAGGAGTCATATCTAGTTATACTCAATTTAGGAATGGAACCTCAACGGTTGACAACAGAGCCCACTTCTTTTTTAGCTATTCGTGTAAGGGTTTTCCCCTAAAGAAGGGAAAATATTTGAATAAAATAAAAATATAATTCTTCCAAACTTAAACACAAAGGAGCAAATATTGGCAAAATGTAATGTTTCTCTCAAATTTGGAAACTGGCATTCCCTAAATTTGTTACTATAGGTCAGGGAAGAATAGCACCGCACCGCACCGCACCCCCCCCCCCCCCCCGTGATACCAGGAATCTAACTCAGGCCAGGCAGATGCTTCCACCACTGAGCTATATCCCCAGCCCCCAAGAATAGCAACTTACTCCTTCAATAAATGAGTATTTTCTAGATGAAGCCAATTCTTACTAAGTCATGTTAGCTTTTTATAGCAATGCAAATTATAGTTCATTTCTCTCAAAATTAGTAGGTAATATGCTTATGTTGGGCCTGAAAGGCTGGATGAAATTAAAGATTTTTATTATGATTAACTTCACACCAGTTTTTCTAGAAAAGTAGTTACAAGTTTTATATTTTATTATTTTAGTAGATACAAACTTGATAGTTTATCATTCATACTTATAGCATTTCTAGTACAAGATAATGAATACTTAAGTTTGATCGATAGCAGTTTGTTATGTTTAACTGATGTCAAGGTCAGTTACTGTTCTTAATCTTTATTAATACTGTGCTGTTATCTTTTTCTTATCACATCTCTTAAGTATGCTGACCAAGTTAATCCAGTTTTTCCAAGAATGTGCATAGCGTATTTGAGGGCAGGATCAAGCATCAGACACAGAAAAATGGTTTTATATTAAATAAGTGTAATTTAATGAATGGACAGTTTGTATAGCCTACAATACTGTACAAGCATTAACATCCTAGAATTTGAATGGTTCAGATGAAAATATCATAGTTATATTTTGTTAATTCTACTAATTTACTTTGCTGCAGGAGTGGAGTCAACATATCAATGGAGCAAGTCACAGTCGTCGATGCCAGCTTCTTCTTGAAATGTAGGAGTTTGAAATACCTTTAAAGCATCCTTACCATGAATCAGAAACAGCCATTATTGGTTTTTGGGAGTTCATTTTTTACTTGTAATATTATAGTGTTATCACTAGTTACTACTACGTGGGCAATATTACCGATAACATTTCTAGGCCTATAATCCTATATTCAATATTAGATAAATCAATACTGATATTGTATCTTATTTCTGGGTTAAATATACATTGGCTTTTTTATAAAATGAAGAAATTCTAAGACAATAAAAGACCTTTAGAATAGATTCATGTTTTTAATGTTAATACATGCTCTAAAACAAAAGATACTAGAGGGTAATTAAAAGTTACTAAATATCAAGCAGAATTCACATGTCCATTTTTTATTTTTCACATACATTGGTTCTGAATTTAAGCTGCTGCAGTGAAATGGAGTACATAATTTGCCTAAGGCAGCTACATATGATGGCACACATCTATAATCTGAGCTCTTTGCTAACTTAAGAGGATGGCCACAAGTTTGAGGCCAAACTGGGCTATACACTGAATTTGAGGCTAATCTGAACTACATAGCTACACTGGAGTTGAAATTTTCTATATGCCTAACTCATTTAAGGCAATCCTTTGTAGTGCCGCAACTTAACTGTACTCTTGATATTTAATACTGGGGGGAAGAACTTGTGATCTCTTATTTCCCTATATAACCCTCATCATTTGTTGTGTAATACTTTTTCACCTTTTAATTTAACAAGTACAGGAAAAATTTAACTTTAGCCTATATCACCTACATTGCAAGCAGTACATGGCAAGTTTATACTCAAGTCATTTGTACTACTGTGAAGATTTGTAATTTTTCCTTTGAGATACGTATGTTATAATTAAAACTGATGTTTCTGGTGCTTAAGACTCTCAGATAAGTTTACTAATAGATGATCTCTACTTTAGAGGCCAAACAAGGCTATTTTGTGACAAGGACAGTTTTATTTTAAAGTTAATTTTCTGGTCTTTTTAAAGCTACCCAGAATGGAATCCTGACAATGATACAGGACACACAATGTAAGTTAAATTTTTTTAAGCTATTGTTTATAAAGAAGATCAATGTAAGGAATCTTGTTTCTAAGTTTCAATATTTCATATTTTCAGAATTTCTGCACAGAGATTGATAAAAATCACTATAGTTGAGGGCTTTTCAGGAAATACTTCAAGTAATGATTTTATTACTTTTTTTCCCGTAGTTATTCCATTTCTAAGTGCTTTCAAAAGTTGATCAAAGAGGGGCTGGGGAAATAGCTCAGTAGAATAAGCGCTTCCCTGGCAAGCGCAAGGGCCTGAGTTCAATCCCTGGTTCCGCAAAAAAAAAAAATTGATCGAAGATACAAGGGGTGCTTTAAACAGTAAGTCTTAACATTTATTGGACCTCTTGTGTTTCATATTTTATTTCTTCATATTACTAGGGGTGATCCATTCATGTTGCAGCAATCTACAAACCCAGCACCAGGAATTCTGGGACCACCACCTCCATCATTTCATCTTGGTGGACCAGCAGTGGGACCAAGAGGAAATCTGGGTGATTATATAATATTTATATTATCTTTCTTTGAAACCTTCTTAAAAGTGGAATGCAGTGATTATAGGCATAAGAAAGCATGTTTTTGTTTTTGTTTTTTGGCGGAACCAGGGATTGAACTCAGGTCCTTGCGCTTGCCAGGCAAGTGCTTGTTCCACTGAACTATCTCCCCGGCTCCAGAAGACCATGTTTGTAGTGTGGTTCTATGCCCCCTAGCCTTGGTTTGTGTTTTGTGGTGCTGGAGTCATATTCAGGACCTCCTGCATGTGGGGCAATTGCTCTATCACTAAGTTGTACATCAGAGCTGGAGTTTGTTTTTAAAGAAGTCTATTTTAAAGTCCATTTACTTTATATGTTTTTCCCCCCATAAAGGTGCTGGAAATGGGAACCTGCAAGGACCAAGACACATGCAGAAAGGCAGAGTGGTCAGTAGTACAGCTATTGCTTTTATTGTATTTGTTATGTGAACGTGATTTAACTTTACTAGTTGTGTATCAGTCTTCACAGATCACAGTGTTACACTTTGAAAGTCATAGGTTTTTATATTACTGATAACAGTTTAGACTTTATATATGCCAATAATTACACTTTTTTTTTTTTTTTTTTTTTTTTTTTTTAGTACCAGGGATTGAACTCAGGGACTTGCGCTTAATAGGCAAGCGCTTATTCTACTGAGCTAACTCCCTGGCCTGCCAATAGTCATAGATAATCTCACCTTGATACAGCATATTAGGATTTCTGTTACCTAGTTATGCACACAGTACTTAAAAAAATCAGTGCAGTCAGGCAATTTTGTGAAACATTAATTTGAGTTTTGGCAGAAAGTATTCAGTGACACTTCATTTGCTGTGGTTTTAAATTGTTATTTTAAATAATTTTTCTTTTTCCCACAATGGATAGGAGACTAGCCGAGTTGTTCACATCATGGATTTTCAGCGAGGGAAAAACTTGAGATACCAATTGCTACAGCTGGTGGAACCATTTGGAGTTATTTCAAATCATCTGATTCTAAATAAAATTAATGAGGTATGAGTTTGGAAATAAGCATATTTTTATATTAGTACTGTATTTTCCAAAGAAATTAAGTGAATTCTTAATTAGAAAAGAAACTGTAATCCACACTAATTTGGACTGCAAGGAAAAAACCACTAGTTTAACTAAGTCAGTGTCTAATACTAATGAATTACTAGTATCTCTATAAACTAGGAATCTCCAGTAGTAATTGTCATTACTATACTACTGAAGGGCATTATAAGAGGAAAATTCTTTGGAAAGCCATATCAGACTTACATCAAAATAGGACTGGCAAGATAGCACAGTGGACTAAGCTCATGCTTTGGCAAGCAGGGGGACCAGGGTTTGATCCCTGGTCCCACATGCTGTGCCAGTCCCACTCCTGGGGTGCACTGAGCTGGCGACGTTCCAAGTCCAGGTGTGGTTGCATATGCCTGTAATCCCAGCATTGAGGAGGCTGAAAACAGGAGGATCACCACGAGTCCATTCTGCTCAGTGAGAGCCTGTACCAAATACATAAGCTGAAGGAAGAAAAAAAAAAAGACCAAATCATTTTATTTTCACTATAATAGGCATAATAATTGATATTTTAGTAACCTGGATATAATTTCGTGTGTGTGTGTGTGTGTGTGTGTGTGTGTGTGTGTGTGTAACTGGGGATTGAACTCAGACCTTTGCACTTGCCAGTGAAGCGCTTATTCTACTGAGCCATCTCCCTGGCCCCAACCTGGATATAATTTGAAGTGACTTTTTCTCAGCACTAAGGATTGAACTCAGAGCACACTCCCAGCCATTTGTAATATTCAGACCATCTTGCTAGATTGCCTACTTTGAGCTTGAATTTGTTTTCCACTTAATCCAGCTGCCTCCGTATCTGGTATTAGACCTTTTTAGTTTTTGTAAGATAGCAAGTTGACGGCTCTGATCCTTTGCTTATCCGTTACTGAAAATGCTTCCAATTCAATTAAATATTATTGAGAACTGTGTGTGTTTTCAATGAATATTTTATATAATTTCAGGCATTTATTGAAATGGCTACTACAGAAGATGCTCAGGCTGCAGTGGATTATTACACAACTACGCCAGCATTAGTATTTGGCAAGCCAGTGAGAGTTCATTTATCCCAGAAGTATAAAAGAATAAAGGTAGTTTAATCTCCTTCCTGAGTTATTTAGAACCTCTCCATTTATTACCTCATTTTTATGTTTACTTCGTTAATTTAAAATTGTGGACAAAAATTGGGGTATTTTTAACTATTGGTTAATGATTGTAGTACACCTTTCTAACATTTATTTGACTTACCATATTTCTTCCTTCATTACAGAAACCTGAAGGAAAGCCAGATCAAAAATTTGATCAAAAACAAGAACTTGGACGTGTGATACATCTCAGCAATTTACCGCATTCTGGCTACTCTGATAGTGCTGTCCTCAAGCTTGCTGAGCCTTATGGAAAAATAAAGAATTATATATTGATGAGAATGAAAAGTCAGGTAATACACAGAGAGGTGTTCTCCTTTCACTACTAGAGCTTCAACCCCATATCTTCCCACATGATAGGCGAGTGCTCTGGCAGTGAAGTACATCTTCCCCCTGACTGAGGGTTTTGCAAAAAGATTGTTTCTCAAAATACTTAAGATATTTCACTTATCTGGCAGTATAGCTGAGTGGTAGCTATGTATTTGTATGTGTGAGGTTCCAGCACTAAAAATATGTGTCCCTGCATTCAAGATGCTGAGGCAGAAAAAACTCCATAAGTTCAAGGCTACCCTGGACTACATAACGAGATCTTGTATTTTTTTAAAAGTGTTATCAAAATATCTTGTTAATGATAAAAACAGGAAAGAATTTGCTTAATTTTAAAGATTTGTTTTCTTAACCATACAATGATGAATGCTGACTTTTTTCTTTTTAAGTGACAATAGCTAGTCATGGTGAAACATTGAATAAATTCTGGAAATACAAAGTAGAAAATAAAAGTTTTAGCCAAGGATGGTAGCATACACCTATAGTCCCTGTATGTACTTGGTAGGCTGAGTGGCAAAAGGATATCTTTGAGTTCAAGTCCTGTCTCAAACAAAAGAAAGGACTGACTTTTCTTTTCCTAGCTGGTAACACTGTTTCTACTATTTACTTCCAAAGATTTTTGTGGTACTGGGGATTGAATTTAGGAACTTATACTTCCAGCCAAGCACTTACCCTACTGAGCTGTCTCCACAGCCCTCCAAAGATTGTTTTATGCTTTTTCTCAGTGCAATTGTTTTGAAACATTTAATTCTTAATTAGTATTTAATTTTCTGAATATTGCTTAATCTTAATTTTTGTTCTATAATTTATACTATATCTTTGACTTACAATTTATTTAAAAGACGTATGATATCTTCTAGTATTAGAAACTTTAAAAAGTATATTTCCATTTTCTGTTGACTTTATATTACTTCTTCCCTGTCTTTTATACACACATATGCACACATATATGGAAAAAAAAATACGTGTATAACCCAACATAAGATTGGTACTGTTTCATAGAAATCTGCAATGACCTTTAAATAAGGGTTCATCTAATATATCTTTTATATAGTCCTGCATAACTATCATATTGAGAACTCTCTATTGTTCATCCAGGAGCATACTGCAACTTCTCTTGCCTTTTGAATTATGCTCTTTGTTATTTCCTATATGCTACTTCTGGAGGTATTAAAATATTTCAAGATTGTAAAAAAAAAAAAAAAAGATCATTTTAGGTAAATATAGACACCCTTATTTTCCTCAGCTGCTATTATGCATTTCACTGAGTTAACTAGCATATACATGGATTAGATGGATGATTATAGAGTTGGTTATAATTTTAGCTCCAGTATTAGTCTGGCTGTGCATTGTGCAGCATTTGAATTTTTACATTTTTATGTGTACCTAGTTGCAAGATAAATTTTCAAACTTGAAATTACAAATCCTGATACATATTTTTTTGTTGTTGTTGTTTTTTAATGTATTTGGTACAGGGTTTCACTACACAGTAGCTCGGACTCATAGTGATCCTCCTATTTTCAGCCTCCCTAGCTCTAAGATTGTAGGCATGTACTACCACGCCCAGATTCTGTTGCCAGCTGGGGAAGGGCAGCACAGCATGTGGTGCCAGGGGTCAAACCTTGTCCCTTTCCTATATAGGAAAGCACATACCCTGGTGCGTTCCTAGATAGGTGCTTAATCCGCTGAGGTATCTCACTGGCCCCCACCTGTCATCTTTGATGTTGCCAAGTATTTTGCAAATAGACATCCATATAAATCCTAAGTTGTTTCATGAACATTGGATAATTAGAGATTTGTCAGATTGCATTTATTGGCAGAAATAAGTTGCCTCGTACTTGTATTTTTATTTTTAAAATTTCGGAGGACTATTGAGTAGTGAGACCCGGTTCACTCCCCAGCAAGAAGAATCATTGAGGAGAGCACTTGCACAGTATGTGTATGTGTCCTCATTTCCATTAACACTAGAAATTAAAACGCTGTGAGCATTCTAGGAAAGCACTTTGCCACTGAGCTGTTACAGTATCTCCCTTTTTACTTTTTATTGTTATACAAGGTCTCACTAAATGGGCCAGGCTGATCTTGAACTTGGGCTCTTTCAGCCTTAGCCTTCAAAGAAACAGGGATTACAATCATGTGACATCACATCCAGCTTCTTCTAATGTTTGCCATATATGTTATAGTTTGACATTCTGAATTTTCATTTTCCATAGTTTCCTGTGTGTGGTGGGTTTTTTTTTTGTTTCGTTTTGTTTTTTGGTCAGACAGGGTCTCACTGTATAGTTCAGACTGATGTTGAACTCACTATGTAGCCCAAGCTGTTGTCCTCACACTTAATGATGATCCTGCCTCAGCCTCCCAAGTGCTGGAGTCATAGTGTTTTATTATCTTCTAATCTTGTCTCTAAAAGACTATATACTGGTAGTTGAATATTTGAGCTTACAAGGCTCAGGACATAGCTCATAGTACAGTGCCTGACAGGGTCCTGAGTTTGTTCCCTGGTATCAAAATAAATACACAAACGTATAGGGATACAGGGATTATTGGGGAGTTGACTTCGGCATCTTAACAGTTTTTGTACTAAAGATTTAAGTCTCCCAATATATAGTAGAATAAATAATAAAAATCTATGCAGTTTTGTGAAAATTAATGTCCTTTGTGGATTTTTTTTTTTTTTTTTTTTTTTTTTTTTTTTAGGCTTTTATTGAGATGGAGACCAGAGAAGATGCAATGGCAATGGTTGACCATTGTCTGAAAAAAGCCCTTTGGTTTCAGGGGAGATGTGTTAAGGTTGACCTGTCTGAGAAATACAAAAAACTGGTACTAAGGGTACGTAGTTACAGTATTGTCTTCATTACAAAGCTCAAGTGATGTGGTCCTGCTATAGTGACTGTCCTGTGACCCCTAAATCCTGTGTGGCATGGTCATTGAAGGAAAATACCTCCCAATTTTCATGTCTTCTCTAGTACTAAAAGTTTTTAAACTAGTGTTGAGGACCTTTGTTGCTTTTATCTATTTAAATTTTTGTTTAAACAATTATGCTACCAAAATATTATCAATGTCTGATGATTTGCTGATTATGATAAAGATGATCTGAGTTGGTTTAATAAGGATGGTCAAATTATAAATTTTTATTTATTTTTTTTTACATTTTAGTGTGTGTGTGTGTGTGTGTGTGTGTCCAGCTCAGCCCACCAGGGGGCGGGGCTGGCCGGCATGTGGTGCTGGGGGATCGAACCGCGGTCCCTGCGCTTTGCCAAGCTTGTTCTAAGTAGGTGCTTTAGACCACTGAGCCATCTCTCCAGCCCCTCAAATTATTAATTGGATTGTATAATTTACATGAGTATTTTAATATATTTGTTTTAATGGTCATGAAACTTGTCTTGTAGATTCCGAACAGAGGGATTGATTTACTGAAAAAAGATAAGTCCCGAAAAAGATCTTATTCTCCAGATGGCAAAGAATCTCCAAGTGATAAGAAGTCCAAAACAGATGGTTCTCAGAAGACTGAAAGTACAACTGAAGGAAAAGAACAAGAAGAGAAGTCAGGTGAAGATGCTGAAAAAGATACAAAGGATGACCAAGCAGAACAGGAGCCTAATATGCTTCTTGAATCTGAAGATGAGCTACTTGTAGATGAAGAAGAAGCAGCAGCTCTTCTAGAAAGTGGCAGTTCAGTGGGAGATGAGACTGATCTTGCTAATTTAGGTGATGTGGCTTCTGATGGGAAAAAGGAGCCTTCAGATAAAGCTATAAAAAAAGATGCCAGTGCTTCAGCAGCAGCAAAGAAAAAACTTAAAAAGGTAAAAAAGATTTTATTTTGATGTTAATAGCATATGGGCCAACCAGATAGCTCAGCAGACTAAAGCACCTGCTTAGGCAAGCACAGGGACCAGGGTTTGAACCTGGTTGTGCTCTGCTGACCCTGCCCCTGGGCACACTGAGGCTAGGTGTGGTGGCACGCACCTGTAATCTCAGCACTTGGGAGGCTGAAAACAGGAGGATCACTTTGAGTCTGTTATGTATAGTTAGACCCTGTACTAAATACATAAATAATAGCAAAATAGATCAGTTTACCAGATTATTTACTCTAGCAGTGCCAGGTAAAGAAAATTATATTATTTCTGTCAGAAAAATCAGGATTCAGAATGTAAGCATTTAAATCCCAGCTCTGCAATAAATTGAATGACTAGGACATCTCATAGCTGCAAAAAAGAAAGTCATTTTGCAAAGAAAACTTCAGTAGATAAGGTGAAAGACAAAATTGTATGTGGTTTTTCTTTATACTGGGGATCAAATTCATGACCTTGCATTTGCCAGGCAGGCATTGTACTGCTAGCTATATATCCCTCACCCAGTATGTGCTTTTGTATTGTAGTGGTTGTATATTAGTACTACTTTGTACAGCTTGTTTTTTAAAAAGTAAGTTATGAGTTCTCAATAAGTAGACTGACCCAAGACACTTAAAACACATTGGTCATTCATCTAAAAATTTATTTTGATGCCTGGCAAATGCAAGGTCCTGAATTTGATTCCTGGCACCAAAAAAATAACTGGCTTTGAGCGGACATCGTGGCACATACCTAAAATCGTAACAGTCTTATAGACCAAGGCAAGAGGATCACAAGTTTGAAACCAGCCTCAGCAACTTAGCAAGACTTCATATGAAAATACTATTCAGTTTAAGAATTAGGGTATTAAAATGCCTTTGAAACCCCTTACGTTAAGTGGCCCCTTAGAGTAAAAGGAGATTTTCATTAGGATACTAATATTTGGTAAGTAGAAAACTAATATTTATGCCACATTTTGATGGCTTTGTCACATAATTGTAGTTGTGTTTTTCTTTTTTTCAGCAAGAACTAGTGATTATTGGACTCTTAATATGTGCCACAAAATTTTCAAAGGTCTTTATGTATGTTCAGTCTCTTAGTAATGTGGAAAGTAGGTACCCATTCATGTGCGAGAACATTGAAACATGGATGTTCATAATTTGGCCTAGTTCATACTGCTTGTAAGTGGCATAGCCAGTATTTAAACATACACATTCATGCTCCAGAGTTTGATTTCTTAGCATTTGTGTATTTTTCCTAAACAAATTGTAAGATACTATTTTGAAAAGAACATTGCACAGCTCATTTAAAAAAATTAGTTCTTCTGTTGCTTAGCACAGTGGTAGTCTCAGGAAAGGGACAATAATGTATGACTGCCTTCATACCAGTTTTCTTTTTCTTTCTTTTCTTTTTTTCTTTTTCTCTTTTTTGGTGGAACCAGGGATTGACTCAGGCCCTTGCGCTTGCCAGGGAAGTGCTTATTCCACTGAGCCATCTCCCCGGCCCCAATACCAGTTTTCTTATTGTGAGAAGCAAGCCTTCCGTTTACTAGCAGTTTTGGCGGATTTTTTGGTGCTTGGCATTGAACTCAGGAACTTTCAGCATGTTCAGGAAGAATTCTACTGCTGAACTATATTCCTAACACCCATTATTTAACTCTAAAACCTGAATTGTTGTTACATATTTAGTATAGGGTCTCACTGTGTAGATCAGACTCATAGATCGGACTGGTACCTGTTTTTAACCTCCCAAACATTGGGGTCTCAGTGCACACCAGGTGGTGGGGCTGGCAGGGCACACCCGAGCCACTATGTTCTGCTTAAATAGGTGCTTTAGTCCACTGAGAATCTGGCCAGCCCTCTGAATTATTATTATTGTTTTTTAAATTATTTTTAAAAGATGTCAGTGAATAGGTATGTGGTTGCCCATGCCTGTAATCTCAATACTCAGGAGCCCAAGGCCAGCCTAGGCTACAAGTGAGTTCCAGGCAGATTGGAACTAAAATGAGATCCTGTCTCAAAATAAACAAAAAAAGTTATCCATTATTTTGGTAACAAAAAGTATTTTGAGAAAATAAAGACAAAGACGCTATTCCATTCCCTTCAAGTAAAACAAATGGAGGGGATGCTGCAGGATAATTGTTGCAGAGTAAATTTGTCTTTCTTAACAGCGTCGTTTCCCAGGGAGTATGGAAGGTTTTGTCACTCTAAATGAGGTTGGTGATGAGGAAGATTTGGAACTTCAGAAACCTCATAAATAGGGCATGGCATTTAAATCTGGTGACAGAAATAATGATGGTTTGGTTGACATTAAGGTGGACAAGATCGAGGAACTTGATCAGGACAACGAAGCAGCGTTGGAAAATGGAATTAAAAATGAAGAAAACACAGAACCAGGTGCTGAATCTGCTGAGAATGCTGATGATCCCAACAAAGATACAAGTGAAACTACAGATGGCCAAAGTGATGAAAACAAGGAGGACTTTGCAATCCCAGATGAGTATAGAATTGGACCATACCAACCTAATGTTCCTGTTGGTGAGCTTTTATTTAAGCCATTGTTCTTCCCAATTCTTAACTACCTCTAACACTATACTTTCAGGGATCATTTCTATAGTATGTTAACTACCTGTACCCCTGCGAATTTACTAAACTTAAGTTTTAAAATACAGTCTTAAATTTAAGTTCTGATAGTATATTAATGTTTTTGTGGGGAAACAAACATTAACAGATTTATACCGCTCTTTGCTTCTTAACATGTCTTAGGATTTTCATGTTATTGTTACACAATGTTCTCATAAAAGTTCCTAGAAATTATTTGTTGCTTTTTGTTTGTGTTTCAGTGTTAATTTTTGTCATTTTAGGAGTACAGTTAGACAAAACCTTAAATGTCAGTTATGTGCAAAATCAGCTGGCAACTAGTAATGTCATGATTTGATTTTGTTTCCACCATAGGCCATATTAGACTTTTTGCAAATATACATTGTCATGCATGGGCCTGAGTTCAATCCCTGGTTCTGCAAATATATGTGGGTGTGGGTGTGTGTGTACACACACGCAATGTCTGATACAGATTATATTGAAAGGAAAAAATGTTTGAGACTACTAAAGAATATCTTCAGTTTGCTTAATTTGTAAGCATTTATGTTTGTGTTCCTAGGTATAGACTATGTGATACCTAAAACAGGGTTTTACTGTAAGCTGTGTTCCCTCTTTTATACAAATGAAGAAGTTGCAAAGAATACTCATTGCAGCAGCCTTCCTCATTATCAGAAATTAAAGGTAAGGCTGAATCGAAAAGAGGAGAGTTCTTTTGTAAAAAGTAACAAATCATTTACACTGTGGAAATAAATGAATTAGAAGTATGTTATGTCTCTAGACCCAGCACAGTGCTTTATCCTGAGGATAAATCTTTCTTTTTTTAATTGAAGGGTTTTAAGCAATTTAATGGATTTGAGAAATATTTCTTGAGCCTCTTTTCTTTTTTTAATTGTAACTTACAAAGTGTACAATATAACTAAAATTATGTAAGTGTTCTTAGATTGGTGGTAGGCTATAATTTCTCATTTGGAAGGTCCTGGAGGCCTGAGTACCACATCCCTAATTTAATGATTTTTACATTGACATTACTGAGTAGTAATGCCTTTATATTACTTTAGATAAATAGTATAACAGAAGAATAACCAGTTCCTATTTTTTAAGTTACAGAGCTCTTTATGGTCTAACTATTGAAATAGGTAATAGAAAAAAATTACGAACTAATAAAGAACTCAAAGATAACTTGGACCAGATAGGGTGATGCACACCTATTATCCCAGCACTTTGAAGGCTAAGACAAGAGGCTCATCATGAATTTAAGACCAGTCTGGCCTACATAAGCGGGTTCAAGGCCAGCCTGCACTACGTAGCAAGACTGTGTCTCAGGAAAAAAACAATAAAATGAAGATAACTTGTTTTTTTCACACTTAGATATTATACATGTTAACTACTTGTAAAGTCGAAATCGCAAATGCTTCAATATCTGAATCTTGACAGGATGTCACAAGTAGAAGATTCCACCTGGCCTTGACTAGGTAGTGATTACAGTGTTAAAATTACTATCAGGAATTAAAGGTAGAACATTTGCCTACCATATATAAAGCCCTAGATTTGATTTTCCAGAACAGTGAAAAATAATCTACATTCAGACCATGAATAAAATGTATATGAAGTAAATTTTGTGTTTAGGCTTGAATTTTGTTCATTGCAAGATATTGTAGGATATATTTATAGATACTCCAAAATCTGAAATCCAAAAGCACTTGAGATAAGGGATACTTTCAACTTATTCAAATTGTTACCAGATTTTTCTCTGTTAGATATGGATAAAGGTAGCTGTAGGTTGTAGACTAATACTCGGTTTTTTTTTTTTTTGTTTTGTTTTTTTACTTGATACATGGTCTTGCTATGCAGCTCATACTTGTAATGATCCTACTGTTTTCACCCTCCCCGGCGCTGGGATTACAGGTGTACACCACCATGCTTGGTCTCAGTTGCCTGCTCAGCGTGGCCGGGGGCAGGATGAGCACGCATGTGGTGCTAGCGATCAAACCCTGGTCCCTGTGCTTGCCTAAGCAAGCACTTAGTCCACTGAGCTATCTTATTTTGTTTTAAATACAACTTTTGGGGGTATCTTCTTATCCCTACCATTGTGGATGTGAAAAAAGAATGCCAGTTACTCTCATTGCTAATAGCAATTTAGGTTCAGAATATGTACTTGTTACGGATTTGTCTCAGGGCCTCAAGCATATCAAGCATATATTCTACCACTGAATTACATTTCTAATGTGTATTATAAATACTTATATCTGCTTTAATTTAAGAGATTGGTGGATCAGGGACTGTGTATAATCTATCAAGAGTATGGAATGATTTAAGTCTCTAAGCACTTTGATAGTATAGAAACAGTACTATGCTTTATAATTAGACATTTGGTCTATTGTAGGTGGTTCATTTTGTACTGCATGTTGAACCTAGCTACATCCTAGCCTTTTGTTGCTTCTCTTTTGAAATAGGGTCTTGCCAATTTGCTAGGTTGGATTTAACTGTGTGATCTTGTTTTGCCCTCCCAGTATGGTGGGATTACACCAATGTCACTACACCTGGCTTTTTTTTTTTTAATAATAGACAGGATCTTGCTATGTAGTTTAGGCTAGCCTTTCTGGGATTTACAGGCATATGCCACCATGCCTGGTTTTTGGTTTTCTCTTACCTTTTTTTTTTTTTTTTTTGTAATTTTACAGATTTTATTTATTTTTTATATGTATTTAGTACAGGATCTCACTACACAGATCAGACTCGTAATGATCCTCCTGTTTTTCAGCCTCCCAAGTGCTGGGATAGCAGACGCATGTCACCATGCTCAGTCTGAATTGCATCTCAGCATGTCCTGGCAGCAGAGCCAGCACAGGAGGCTGGGGATCAGACCCCCCAGCTTCTGTCTGCCTAAACAGGTGCTTTAATCTGCTGAGCTATCTGGCTGGCCCTACAGATTTTATTAGAATGTAGCCATGATTATTTTGCCTATGGCTACTTTAGTACAGGAAAAATAACAGCAAACCTAAAATATTTAATCCTGGTCCTTTGAAAATGTATTTGACTGTGTTAGAGTACACTAGTTCTGTGTAACTGTGTTCTTTGTTTTCTCATCTGTACATGTTAGGGTTGATAGCACATAAAAATAACTCATTTTTCACATTAAACTTTATTTTTCCCATTCCTTATTGTGGTGTCTTCTGAACCAGTTTAGTCTTGTACAATAAGAATTTATTGGGGCTGGGGAGATAGATCAGTAAAATAAAAAGGGCTTGAGTTCAATCCCTGGTTCTGCCAAAAAAAAAAAAAAAAGAATTAATTCATTCCAGCTGCATTTGATGGCATATGCCTGTAATCTCAGCACATGGGAAGCTGAGGTGGGAGGCTGAGGCAGGAGAATCACGATGAGTTCGAGGCCATCCTCAGCTACATAGTGAGTTTAAGGTCAACCTGAAATACATAGTGAGATCTTGTCTCAAACAAAATCTTCAAATATTGATACAGTTTGAATTGGACTAAACTTGGATAAAATATTTTGTAGTCAATATGCGTTTCTCTTAAGTAATTTAATCTTTACTATTTTTTTCTCTTCTCAGAAATTTCTGAATAAATTGGCAGAGGAACGCAGGCAGAAGAAGGAAGGTTAAGATGTGCAAGAAGTTTGATTTCAAAGAAAACAATGGTTCTTTGTTTTTAAATGTTAACCTTTTTTAAATACAATACTGATAGTTAGGATAAAACTATTGTACTCTTTTGTTTTAGTGGAAAAATAATAGATGTCTGTTCCTGTGTTAAGTGTTAATAGAAAAAATACACATAAGTTAATGATGAATAGTTTTGTTTCATCAGAAGGGCAACAGACTGAAGTACTTTATAGAAACTGACACTGTAATCTAAAACACTTGCAC